AGCAAGCTGTTCGGCAGTCACGGTGTGCGCAGAGTGGGCAAAGCGCTGCACGCAACAAGCTATGCAGTAAACGATTTGGCTCTTACATATTAATGGGGTTTCATTGTACTAGGTTCATGGGATAGCCCTAAAGAAGCCATAAATAAAGTACTGCTGCATAAAGGAAACATACGAAGCACAAGAAATAAGTTATTGGGTCCGACGAGCCACATTGTCAATGAAAATCCTATATCAAAGCAAGCACAAAAATCGCCAAGCCAAAGTTTTGGCACCCTACCAAATCATTTTCCGTAATAGCAACCACCAGAAGGCGACGCATGCAAATGAAAATGTTGGATTATGCACATTCTCTACAAACTGGCTAACCATACATCATGATAGGTATACATACAAGCCATCAATATGGTGCTAACACAATGAAAAAGGTGCTTTCAGAGGACATTCACGATCTAAGCGTGCATGCTAACATGCCACTGCATGCAGATGACGCTGCATGCAGATGACGCAGAGAACCATATACACTAGGCGAGGTTCAGCGAGAAGCCACCAGGCAGTGACCCCCCTTGATCTCGCAGTGAATTCTGTTCGTGTGCACCAGCCGATTTACAAACTGCCAATGCTGTGAAAGGTGCTCGTCGCACTTGCTGAGAACCTCAGTCATGCAAATACACATTCAGCCGGCACATGCCCCTTAAAAAACGCACCTCTTTTGACGAGCTTGTTGACAAGCGGGTTCTCAATAAACTGTGCAAGCTTCGTGTCTTGCTCCATCATGCCCTAGAAGGAAGTAAACATGAACTCACAGCACACATACATAATTTTATAGCTTTTCCTTTAGTTAAAAATTAGAAAGACAGCGGCCAAAGCTTTAGAAGAACGACGATAGTTATAGCACGAGAACAAAACGACGACACAGAGACAAGAAGGACACGGACACGAGCGCTCGTGTCCGTGTCTTTCTTGTCTCTGTGTCGTCGTTTTGTTCTCGCGCTATAACTATCGCCATGCCATACCAATTAGCCCAAGCTGCCACACTTTAGAAGAATTTCACAAACGTGCACTGCTCTTGATTGCAAGCTATCAGAATAGAGAGACTCATCGTGCTTAATTACAAGCTAGGGCCACATGAAGCTGTCAAAATAGGCCATGAATAGTAAAATTTCCTTTTCATTCAGAGCTCCAAAATTTAGATGACACACTGAATAAAGACAACTAAAAAAAATTCTTTTTTCACAAGTAGAAATCAAGCCAAGAGAAAAAAAACTGCTCTCCAGGTGAGCTACAGTGATTAGAACCACTTACAATTGTGACCACCAAGTTCAGCAAAGAACGGTTAACGCCCATTTTGTTTTCCTTGGGCATGTGCATGTGGTGCGAAGCTAAGATAGCAGCTGGTGGTCCTTAAGAGTAACAGACAAGACGTTGAGGGTCACGTGAAGCAGGGAAGAAATTTAGGTAGGCAGATGCCGGGACAACGTAGCTGTACTGAGCATATGACTTAGTTAATAAGAGCAACGTGGGAGGTGCCTTTGCCCTGTCAGGATGGATAAAGATGAAAATGTTTAACTGTAATTTAAACAGTCAATACCACTTTCGCACGAGAACGAAAAAGTGTGGTACACACTTTTTTTTGCCTGTTAGCAACACGTGACGCCGATAGGATAGGAAAATAGTGTTCGACACTTGCCGCTATGGTTTCTGGCAGAGCTGACCAACACTCCCAGGTTTGAATGCACATGTATATATGCCATACAATGAATGGGAGGGGGGGAGCAAACCTTGTCGCTGCAGCTCAGTTGGTAGAGCATTGGACACATTATTCAAAGGTCGCAGGTTTCGTCCCTGCCAGTGGCAAGTTATCTTTTCGTCCACTTTTTTTTTTTGGTTCACATTTACATTGCAATTAGTGCTAAAAACATCCACAATACTTTCCTTGGCATCGCTGTCTACTGGTTCACATTTACACTAGAAAATGGTACACTCGAGAGCAAAAGTGAATGAATCACAGAAGCCTCATGCCACTTGCCATCAACTACAGTGCTAGGCTGGTTTCCACTATTCCCTGGCTGCATGTATATTTCCCACTGCTGTGCAGCCCATCGCCACTTCGTCTTTGTGACACACTTATCTGCAAGAAAGCAGCCACACTTGTGCCTTGATAGCAGTATCATTGCAATGATGGTTTGCCTCAAGCAGTGTGCCACTGGGAAGATAACAGACTACAAAAAGAGCCATCCATCGAAAGAGCACAGACAAAATTTTGTACCTTGTCTTTTCCTTTTTTGCTGTTGTTGAGATGGGTAGTCTATGTCCCATTAATTGTGGCCGCAAACTTTGTTTGCTTGAGTGCACAACAGCTAATTGTTTAAGGACGTTTTTAGAGCACCCAGTCCCAGTATGGCTTTGAAAGAGCACCGAGCTAGACAGGAACAGTTCCGGTTTTCAGGTAAACACAGCCACGTGGCCACATGCTGTGACACGAGTGAAAGCTGTGACACGAGTGCCACAAGTGAGAGCATGTGGAAGTGGGCGGTGCAGTGACAGTCTGCTTTGCCTGCACGCGCTGAGCAATGTCGTCGCTATCACAAAGTCGGGGCCATAATATCAACAAAGGCGGTGTGTAACACCTGCCGACGAGCATGATTAATGAACAGAAAAAGAGAGCAAAGACTGCACACGCAAGGCCACAGGTACCGAAAGGTGCGTATGAGCAATCAACCAACACAATCTCGTGACGTAAGGGTTGTTTAGGCAAAAACCACCTCAATGTTGACATTGTGAGGTGCTTGGGATATCACTGAGTTGTGCAGCAAGCATGAACTTCAAAACTTACTTTTATCAAGTTTCTTAGGGCTATATTTGCCTTTAATATTTCATATATATGTGTAACTTCGCATGAATATACTTATCTCTCTCGTTATCTCGCCTTCAATATTGTGTGTCAGTACCCCATTAGGAGAGGAACGAGTTTTGGGCATAACACTGCTTTCTATGGCAGCTGGCAAACCATAAGGGTTAAGAGGATTGATTGATTGATATCTGGGGTTTAACGTCCCAAAACCACTATATGATTATGAGAGACGCCGTAGAGGAGGGCTCTGGAAATTTAGACCACCTGGGGTTCTTTAACGTGCACCCAAATCTGAGCACACGGGCCTACAACATTTCCGCCTCCATCGGAATAAGGGTTAAGAGGGGACTGTAGATGACGTGCTCGCTTCATTCATATATATTTGCTCTCGGGTGTATACAGACATCCCTTGCAGCAACTGGCCACGAGGGCACTGCCAACCTTGAATCGGAGAAGCTCTTTCTCGACAACATCCAGCTTCTTCTCTTTGGAAGCCGCCGAGTACAGTGCAGTTGCATACCGGCCTTCAATGCCAAACACTGCTAAAGGAGGCTGCAAAAAAAAAAAAAAAAAAAAAAGACAGATCAGTGTAGCAACCACATGGTTAGAATCCTCTCATCACACAAGTGGCATTAACTAATTGTGAAGACATTCTGCAAACAGGAATCAGTTTAATTGTGGTGCAACAGTTGATTTGGCCTTCATTTGGTCCTAAGGACACTGCAAAGCGGCCGGACCTGAGGCAATGATCACACACAGCCAAGATGGGTTTCCATCGCTGGTAGCAAAGAATACTGATGATGGACACGTGTAAACAATAAGCACCGATATGATTATGGAGGCTCCGGAAATTTCATCCACATTTTTTTTAGAGGCGAAGCTCCTCTTAGCCTAACCTTGTCGTGCGTCAGGCGGACGACGATTGAACGGACGAACGCACGGACAGCAGCCGGACACAGGCAGACAGACGGACGGACGCTTCGCCCCACTCATCATCATTCCGTGGATATGCTGCGATTTTTTTTTTCTTAAGCACCTAAATCTACGTGCATGGGATGCAAAATGCGATCTCCACGGCCGGGATAGCACCCGCAACTTTTCGAGTCAGCAGCCGAACACCACCGATGCGTAAATCTGTTCAGTACCAGCCACGTTGGCGCGATGAAACTTCATTAGTGACAAGCACCGAGAAATGAGCCGTCTCGATGAGAGCGTCGCATACTTGCTAGACTTGTGCTCCACGTCTTAGCCCTTATTTGCAGCAACCAACACGCGCGAAAAGAACGCATCATGACAAAAAAAAAAATGCCAGCGCACCTGGCTTACACACAAGTAAATATTTAATGCGCAACAACTTCGCTATGTCCAAATTACACGTGTTAATGCACGGTGCACATATTCTGAAAAAATCAGTAGTAGCTCACCTTGACGAGATTGGCGTTGACCGCGCCAGTTGTCGAGAAGTGGCGAGTCTGCAAAGAAAAACGCCACACGGGCACCAATAAGTTTTGACGAACAGAATAACTTGTCTGCATTTTGCGCAACGTGAACATCGTATATTAATTAGGTAGCCACCCAGCCGGCGACCCAAAGGCCTGCCGACAGCCGAAACCTACGTGCCTTCATGAATGCTTCGCAAATGTTTGGGGTTGCAGTGATGGACTGCGACTAATATCCATTGTTTACGCCTGTAGTGCGGATAGAAAACAGGGTAGCAATTTATTAAGAGACGACAAAGGACTTACCAAAGTCAGCATGCGACCACAACCCGCCATGTCGAAGGTCAAAGCACAGACACAGCCTCCTAGATTTCCCTTGCCTGCCGGATTATCGACGGTCACTTGAAAAGCGGCCGTCGTCGGAACTGCGGTGGTGACGCTACTTAAGTAGGGTTGTCTTTATATAAATTTTTATGTTTTTGGAGCCTATATGAAACAAAAATAACGTTAAAAAGTTTAAAAAAACGTAAACGTAATTTTTAGTATTTATAAGTAACCCTACGTAAGTGACGCCGTCATAATTGACGGGCATTTTGCGCTTTATTTAACATGCAATTTTTTTGATACAAGGCATAGCCTCCGAAATTATAAATGCCAAAGTTGCCAATTTTAAAGGCTGAGTACAAAGACATTTAACCCTACGTAGGTAGCGCCGCAAAAATGACAGGCGTTTTAGGCTTATTTGGCAGGCAAAAATATACAGGCGGCTATGAACCAACTGATCTGAAAGCATCTGAAAGCGGGTATCATGCCGGCATACGAAATGACTATGATCTTACGTAAGATGTCCAAAGTGAGTTCAAAATGTTTTCGCTATGTCCAAGAATGAACTTGTTGGAACATTTTTTGTCTTTCCAGCCAGAGATCACAAGTGCACTGAAACGCACGGGAGAGTACGTACTGAAGAATGGAGCCGTCCTCCGCTACATCCAAAACTTGGGAACCAAAGAACTTCCCCTCAAGATGAGCAGGCACGGTCGCACAAATTGGCACGGGAGGTTTGTCACAAGCCTTTTATGCTGAACTTAACACACGGATGAGTTCAGTTTCCTTGCTTGCATGCTGCGAGCTTTATATTGCGCAGTTATGTGCACGTGTGTTAATCGTTTACTATACATGGACGTTTCAACGTTCTTGACCTGGCAGTGCGTAGATGTCAGGTTAGTTTTACTCATAGTGAACTCAGCAGTAGTTGCATTCATTTCATCATCATTACAAATTGAGCTGACCCGCGCAAGCCAACGTTTCTATATGTGCGGCAAAACGAAGTATATCACAGGTCCGTAAATTTGAGATGAATAGAATAAGCACTATGTTGAGGTGCACCATGATTTTACACTTAAATTACGATCTGTATATCACTGGGCGTCGTCGTGTTAACCTACGCTAATCACAAAGGCCTGTGTAGCGGGACACAGGGATAAAACACACTCAAGAGAGCGTTCTCGAGCCACTCACCTCGCTTGCTTGCTAGCGCGCGATGGCTGCCGACCACTGTTCTGTACAGCTTCATTGGCACTGAAGATCAAGCAATTCTTATTAAAAACATTTCACAACGCTTTCCACGTTACCATTCAATGATTATACCAATTAGCTTTCCATTACACAGGAGAAGGAAGCTTCTGTAAAAATTTTATGTTCGTCCCTCGCTCTGCCCGATAAGGCATGTGACTGATGTAGATCATCACGCTTCGATGCTGGAGGCCCAGGTTGCAGTCATCCAGTGTAATACATTTATTTTCAGTTTATGCCGAAGTGTGGGTGTGTTGGTGATTCATTGCAAACCAAGCGTAACATGAAGAAACACCCAGGTAGTAAAAGTGTTTAAAACAAGACTCTAATTGCAACCTTTTGCCATACGTATATTAATACATAAATAGCAACTTCCCCACTCCTTTCACTTCCTGTAAGCTGCTTTTTAAAGGGGCCCTGCGACACTATTTGAGCATGTATTTTTCTTCGGATTTTCTAGTGCTGTGGAACGCGCCGATATCGCTGCCCACATGGCAACGCCGAAATCGGCGCTGTTTTAATTTTAATCCGCGGGAAAAACTATCTTGATTTCAGTCTACGGCATAACACATCAGCTATTTTTTTAGGAAGTATCGTCGTGTCATGTGACGTGACGACAAACACTGTTCTCTTTTGATTAGCTTCCGGCGAGAAATAGCATCCAATATTCATATGTTGGTAGCTTGGCCATACGAATAAATACTTAAAACAGCAAGAACATATTTTACACTTTCTCAGAAAGAAATCGTTCCTGTTTCTAAATTATGTATTTGTGGAATGCATGTGGAAATGCATGCCACGTTTTTAGCGAGCCAAAAATGCGACATGCGGTGGGCACCGACGTTGCCGTAGAATGTGTCTTGCGTGCGAGAACTGGCCCTGCCCAAAGCGTATGTGTGTATTTTACACAGTGTGACCGTGGGAGCGTCTGCTACCAGGCGCACGTGGTTCTTAGTAACCATGCTAACAACGCCCTAAAAAAGAGCGGTAGCTAGGTATTGTGTGAAACCACCATAAGGTGACATTTTCAGAATGTCTTTATGAGAGGCGCGCTGTGATTGGAAGCGGTCTTTTACGTCATCAGGCGAGTGAAATGCGAAAGAGAACATTTCTCGTCGTCTGCTTGAGTTTTGAACTTTGAGGACTCGTAACTTCTCTTTCCGTGCACCGATTTCCATCATTATTGTTGCATTCATCTTAGTAATCATTGCTACTGGCGTTTTGGTTCTAAATAAGGCTGTCCCAAAAGTTTCACAGGACCCCTTTAAACCTCATTTATAGATGCTTACATTCCAGTTATGGGAGCAGCTGGGATCGAACTTGTGACCTTCAAGTACCACCACTGATCCACCGTAATGGACGCGTATTTTTCAAAAGCAAGAAGGCTTGTGCCAGCATTAATATGCCAGGTGTCTTTGTAAAAAATTTTTGAAAAACCTTCTTCAGGTGTTATTAGATGTACAGGTTATGTCTAATGGGGAACAGTAGTGAGGGTGTCCATGATCCATTGCACAATTTCATGCTAGGCGAGGTCTGGGCCTGGGCAAGAAGTTATGCATTCCTTCACACATTAGTGCAGCGTGAATGTCCGCCTAGGTGGCCTTCATAGGCACTCTATGCTGACAGCCTCAGTCAATGCATCTGGGTGAGCTCTGTGAGACACGATGCCACCAACAAGGGAATTATAAGAAAAACAAACAGAATCGTTGTTTTAATAACTCCTTTCATGTTCAAAAGTATGAAAAACAGTGTGTAGCTTACGATAAGGGCTTAAAAATAGGTCTGTTTGTAGGCAGACAACCACTCGAGCAAGATTCAAACAATCCACTCTGCTGCCATCTTGTTTGGATGAGAAAATAATCTGTGATGTTGTCTTTATTAAAATTATGTACTCAGAGTTGGAGCACATGTTTTTAATCATGAACTCACTCTGCTTTTGGAACATTTTTTGGGGGCTGTCTTTGCAAAGCTGCCCAATTTCTCAGCTATGTGAGAATAAAAACGAGAGTCAAGATGACCGCTGCTCACTTAGCAGCCTTTTCTTTCTCTACCTAAAGCAAGCATTGGAACACACTTCGTCTTCAGTGGTGTATGTCATAAACTTGAAGGCTTAGTGTAAATATTGAGAAATGGTGATAGATACCAACATGCTAGTAATTAGTCAATCATCTTTACTTCTAAAATGGAGTTCTCTAATGACGTACTGTAGTCATCGTAAGGTGGATGGATGAGCACTTTATTTTTTTTCTGCAGCTACTTCCTTTTCAGATTCGATGCATCACCGCAACTTACAGTGGCAATGCGAGGAGAGATCAAACGAGATGTGGACATTATTCGCGCCACATTCATTACCCTTTCACCGCCAAAGGCCATCACATGCACCCTCGAAGAAGAGATGCAGCCGCCTGCGTACCGACCCAGTGTGCAGGCACTCATGGCCCAAAGCCAAGTGAAGAGGAAGCAGACTTTTGAGAAACACACGGATGGTCCAGTCTGACCTGCCGCCTTAGGCATAGTACAGTGTTTCCACATCCCTTAAGCTGTCATACCTAATAAAGAGAAGTTGCATGATCTGTTACAGGTGGCACCTGAATCTGGCGCTTAGTTTATTATACTTGACACAGTGCCAGTAAAATGGCACTTTTTTATGAAAGGGCTCTTAGACCAAGTAATTGTGGCCGACCTGAGCCTCACGGTCTTCAAATTCATCAGGAAAGAGCCGGGGATTCATCCCAGTGCAAACACTGAGAGAAGCTCATGTGCATCATGAAACACAATCACTTCTTGCAATTCTGCTGCGCGCTAAAGTTGCTTATGACCTAACCAAGCTCTGATCACAGAACCACGGCATGCCTGCTCTTCAGCTGCGAAATGCCAAAAACAGTTGTGCTAACTGATACTTTTTTTCTGCTAATGTGGATGCTACACATACTAAGAGTTGAAGATTAGCCATTACAACATAAAACATTAATTCAGCTAAGTGAGGATATTGGAATTCCCAACAGATTTTACCAGGACGTTCAAGTTTCCGACCTATAGCCAGTGACGCAAACTTGTCTGTATATACGAAACGCCAATTGTCTGAAGCACTCTAGGAGTCCTTGACGCCAAGAAAATGGGTAATGATTTCATTAATATGTGGGGTTTAACATCCCAAAAGCACCATATGATTATGAGAGACGCTACAGTGGAGAGCTCTGAAAATTTCAACCACCTGGGGGTCTTTAACCGGCACGCAAATCTGAGCACATGGGCCTACAGCATTTTTTCCTCCCTCAAAAATGCAGCCGCCACAGCCAGGATTCGATCTCGCGACTTGCAGGTCAGCAGTCGAGTACCTGATCCACTAGTCGAGTACCTGACCACCGTGGCTGGGCAAGAAAATGAGTAAGCACAACTGGATGGAGCATTCTTGGCAATTCACTGTGGGGAAAACAGCGATGGCTACGAGTGGTGCCCTAAGTTATGATCAAATATGGTGTTGCTACTGTATAATTTGTGAAGTGAAATTTAAGTACCCAGCACATGGTGGCCCCCTGTAGTAAGAAGCACATCTGATCCAAATGCGATTCTTGGTTTACGACAGCTAACAGCCAATGTAGTGACACTATGCGGTAGCCTTCTGGAGAATGTACGGACTTCTGTATGAAGAGCGCTGGGTTAAGTTAGTGCAGCATAATTCGATGTTTTCACAGAACGGGGATGAAAGTGCTATGCGAGTCTTATCCTCATTCTGTGTGCTGTGAAAACACTGAATGTATGAAGGCACCTGAGAAAGTAACATTGCACTCTGCTTGTGAAATCTCCTTGCCGCTCACAGCTGCAGGCTCTGATGGAGCTGTTCCCAATATTGCCTGTTTTCTGCTGCACATTTTTCTTTTTGGTTCCTACCAAGCGCAAGGGGTGGTTCAGGACACATTTAATTTCATAAAAACCTGCCTATCTTGTATGCAGTAGCACACCTGCCAGCTTTCACAAATTTTTTCATAAGTTCTTGAGTTCAGATATGATTTCAGCAGTGTTGCATGAAGGTTTTTTTTTAAATTGTAGTGTTGAGGTACATAGTAAAATATTTCTCATAGATTAATTTTTTGAAAATTGTGGTGGTATGCTTGTGCCATACCTGTACTTGGCGACAATTTATATTGACAGTCGAACGCAAGCTACAGAAACAGGGCTTCTGCTTAAGATGTTGCTCCTTAAGTAGTGCGGCAGCTTGCGGCTGGTTTCAGTTTTGCTGGCTCACATCATTAAAGTGTTTAGAAAGTTAAATACACACAAAAAAATTTAATGGGTGAAACATTGAAATTGTCCAGTGTACATTTCAGTGTTATATTAACAGTATATTTTTCTTGAACTAAACGGCACGTCTCTGGCTGCACATTGACTCGCTACATCATGTCTGCCATGCTTACCTTTGCGAATGTGTGTGCTCAAAACAGGTGGTGCTAAAGAATGAAAAAAAAAGGGGGGGGGGTGTTAAAAAGTGAACAATAACTATTTCGCGTACGACTTTCTGCAACTGTTAGTTTCATAAAAACAAAAAGAGCATTTGCCTCAGCAAGGCAAATGAGATAATTATGGGTAAACTATCTTTTGGTGGGATAGCAGGCATACTTCTGTACTTGCACAGTACTGTCAAGAAAAGCGTGTAGCTGTCGTGGCGAGAAGAGGACTGTTTCAAACAGTTCATCAAATAGTTTAATATGTGCTATTGGAGCAAGCCGAGGTAGCAATAGCAGAGTCGCTAGGAAAGTGATCGTAATGAAAAGTGTAACTTGCCTGGGGGGGTGCCACGGGAGACTGGGACACGGCAGCCCCTGCTAAATTTTTGTTCGCCCCCCTTGCTGCTTCGTTTCCCCAAGTGCATACAAAGTTTAAAGTTTCCCCAGATAACTACAGCACCCTTGTGATTTCGCTGTAAAATCCCCCATTTGCTTTTAAAAGACCCTTGCTGCCTAATGAAGGTGGGATCCACTCCCCTTGCCAAGTGGATGTGTATTTCACTTTCTTATGCAATAAATCTTGCTCAAACAGAGACTGGCTGGCACTTGCTTCTGCTTGACCAATTCGCTTCAGCTTGCAAAAGGCCAAAGCATCGGTGCCAGCAGAATGTTTTTGTACTTTGTCCTCGAGTGGCAGCACGCAGCCTTCCTGTTTGGCACAACACGGAGATACATCTCCACAGTTTTCAGCATTACTATCTAAGAAAGGAAAGTTCTCCGAGCGAAGGCACATGTAGACACCGAGGCCCACAAGAGCAGGAAATTCTGCCAATTGTGATGTTGGAAGCGGCCATGTTGATTTTTCACTGGCCCTCAAAGGGCCCCTAAATCACCCAGAGATCGAGATTTAGTGGTGGTGTTGCTGTTATGCATGAGTCTACAGTGAACACGTAAGAGAAAATAACTTTCTTAAAGAAAAAAAAAAAGGTAAGATGTGGAAGATTTGTCTCCTTCCCCTAGGCAGCGGCCATGAGTCCTTGTGCTCTGGCAACATCCTCGACTTGCCGAAAGACTTCAAGTTGCACTTCTGGGTCTGCGCTTAGCAGTGCGGTCTCCCATTGCTCTCCATTACTGTATTTTTTATTTTGCTCTGTCAAGAAGAGGCAAGCCCACAGTATAAGATTGAGGTCCGCCCTTTGATTATGGAACTTGCACAAATGAGAATATCTCTGGGTTGATGTAATGATAAGTTACCTGATTTGGAAAAGTGTTGGTTTGTAAGATGCGGCATGCCGTCGCCTGCTGCTTGTTTAGCAAGGTATGCGCTGGGGGAAAGCGGGCCCTTCCTAGCCTGTAGTGTTTCGTGATCTCTCCATAACTAACCATGCGGTCCCGGACTTTTGCGCAGCGCCTGTTCGGCCAGCCAGTTCTCAAGCCAGGTCGTGCGCGATTTCGTTCCCGAGAAGGGAGGAGTGAGCACATGCTTATATAATATGAACTACCCGCTCATCGCGAAACTTAGCCAGAATTCTTAGTGCTTCTGGCAAGGTCCTTCCCTTGGCATAATTTTTAACAGCGGCTTTGGAATCATTGATCACGACTTCAAACTTTTTGTGGAGGCTAGTGCTATAGCCGCCTCCTCTGTCCCCTCTGGCCTTGGAATCCCTTTGAATATTCATAACTACGGTCACCATGTTTTGGCCAATCTCATGTTCTGCTGCATCTGCATTGACCACGTTCCGTGTGTTGCTGAACTCTTTGGCTGTGAAAAGTTTTCGACACGGTGCTATAATAGTGGAGTTACATGCCATTGATGATGCAAGAGAGGCCCTCACTCTTGCATTTGCCGGCTCATCTAGGCCAAGTGCTCCTCCTCATCGTGCAAAGAGAAAGAGCGCACATACCTGTGAGCAGGCAAGCAGGTCTGTGAGGATGAGCCAATCACATGCCGACGTCACAGCCAACACTTCCAGGAATGAAAGGACCGGAGAGGAGAAGGCCTTCTTTCTTGTAATTTGTGGGCTGCCTGCAGCTCGTATCGCTTCTGCATTTCGCATTGTTGGTTGTGACGGCATTCCGATTACAATGTGCATGTTTACTTAAAATATTAAAAAATTGGAGGTGGTTTGGGGGCCCTTTAAGGACAGTGAAAGTACCGAGAGTGACAACAAGGGATACAGCAAGGTTTCTATGAAAGAGTCGCACTTCACAGTCTCTCGTGCCTTAAAAGTCTTGATACCCTTAAGCCGTCCAAGTGCATGCATTTAAGAAAGAGCATGGTTGCAAACAAAATAATAGCATGCTGATGATGAGTGGAAGCAAACGGGCTGAGCAACTTTTATTGCACACTGTGTTTCTTTCTGTGAGCTTCCATCTATAGAATGTTTGGCATAGATTATACATACAATGAGGAACAATGTGAACGAGAACCGCTATCACCTACTGCCTCCTCGTATTATCGAGAAATGGCAACTCCAGTTGTGACAGGGCAACTGATGGCTGTGATGCAGAATGGGCTGGGTGCCTCATTTAGAAAATTAGAACTTGCTGCAATCCCATTCCTTTCAATTTCTTAGAATGAAAACACTTGGCCTATTCTCATTCTGGGAATGGCTGGGTATTTCAATTCCATTCCTGTAATTCCTCAATGTATAAAAGGCATTTTGATAGTTTTACCTAGTTCAGAATGAATGCCCCATAAAACTGATGTTATCAGAAGCACTAAGAACCACAAATATAAGCAGAACAATTAACCAATGTCGCGGGATGGTAACTTGGGGACATATCTCATGCAGTAAAACCACCCTACTAATACCCATAGAGGCAGTTCTTCCACTACCTATTGTACACTCAAACCTCATTATAACAAAAGTGCATCTTGCACGAAAACAAGTTCGCCATATCCTAAAATTTGTTATAAACATATATTCATAACACTGTAGCCATTACAAGATGACTGTACTTAATTAACTTTATTGCAACCAATATTTCATTATATCCAGATTCATTATATCGGTTTGAATATACTTGCATGGTCAGCATTTTAAGCAAATGGTGATGTTTTATTATTGTTTAATTTAAACTTGTTAATTTTTAAATGATGACAGAGCATATTTTTATGCTGACAAAAGCAGTATTGAAGAAGGAAGACTAGGCAGTGTTTTCACACATCTGGAGCGGTTATGATCATGGAGAAAACCAAGATTTGTTTAATGGGGAACAAATCTCTTTATATCTGCTGGTATTGGTTGGAACAGCACTCTGCTCGGGCACCTTGCGCTTTTGCATCGAATAAGAAACACTGGTGCACATTGCTCATCAGCACTCAAACTTACTAATGTATGAAGTTTGTAAAACAGTGAGTAGATGAAAACATGCTGTATTTTTGGAAAACAATGTAATTTCGTTCTGTGCAAAATGCATTTAATTCGATTCCCATTCAATTCCTCAGAGTGTTGTCCCCATTTCATTTCAGTGTCACGAAAATGTAAAATAATTCTACAGTGGCAACTCGGCAGCACTGATTGATAGCTCACTTATTCCACTTCAATGTGCCATGCTGGCTGTGTCAGCAATAATGCCTATGCAATTGTTGCTGTGCATAACCTGCAGGTGCTTGAAAACAGCTGTGCAGCTGGTGGGCACTGAACTCGCATTCTTCACATTACACAATGCTACTCAAAGCAGCATTAACATGGAGGCTCAATTTCCTGACTAGGAATACAATTTCTGATGTGATATAGCGTTTATAAAAGCAAAATTATAAATGTGACATTCAGCAAATCTTTACCACAAATGTAAAGTATCAAAACAGTTTGGGAGAGTGAAGTGCTTTCATTACTTTGCAATGTACCAGCACACAATCGTGATGAGGACAAGGAAGACTGCACATCTTTGTCATGTTTGCAGGTTGCGATGTTGAACCAACAAGCCCAAGTTCTGAATATTTTGATTGCACTGAGACCTGCATTTACATAAACTTCTGAGAGGCATTTATCACCATGTACGATGGATGAAGAACACTCATCTCCCACTGGGACTTGATGCCCACAAATGCGATTTCGTGCTTTTTGTTTGACCATAGTCATCAAAAATATTGTAAACATTTATGTACAAGCATAGCAAAACAAGAATTAAAGGGTTGAGACACCGAACTTTGATGCTATAAAAAGCCTGCCATAAGCTTCCTCCGTATGCAAGGATACTTGGCACGAACTGTTGGACACAGCAAGCATTTATAACATATCTTAGCTTGCATCCGAAATGGGCCCAAATGCTCACGATCGAGACTTATTGTTAGTGCGACAAACACTGACATCACTTGTACAAGAGATTTAGTGATGTCAGACGTGTTTAGAGGGACGTGCAATTAGTAGTGACCCACAGCTCCGCTGCACTGGACAGGCCTAGAGAGCAGCAGCTGTGAACCCACATTCGCTCATTTTTCTCAGGATGTAGCCAAACAGGGCAAGTTTGCTGGCATTTTGCAAAGTGCTTTCACCACAAAAAGATGGCATTGGAGAATTTTCGTTTGTTCGCACATTAGAATACCAGGTTGCCACAGTTTCAATCGTGATAGGCAGGGTAAGTGAGGCCACCTGGTAGCACAAAGATGAACCACACTAGCACAGAATTATTGTAGCTGCAACCTGATGTATTCCACTTTTCTACTGGTTTAATATCTTGGCAGCAGCATAGTTCCAAATGTGCAGACTTTTTAAAGATGTGTTTTACCATGGTCACTCAGCGAGAAAAAAAGACGTGCGCCTCGCATTGTAGTTGCACAATGAGTCAAGATGTAGATACCATCACCTGGTAAACCAATACCCGAGTACTCCACAAAAATATCTCGATTTACCACAGTGCCATACATATTAATATTCGCTATCGAAGAATTTCGGCGAGTTTCAAAGGCACCCAGAAGGTTGATAACGCACGTGTGCCAACACACGAACCACCATTTACGTCACAGCGTTCCGGGCCCACATGTTCAAGCTTCCTAAGCACCAATGTCGCTGTCCCGCATGGCATCCAAAAACTGAAAGTAATTTGCTTGAATAAGGGGATATTGAATTATTTAATGAGAATACATTAATCTGAGCGTGTACCACACTTCTTGGAGCAATAAAAAACATTTGAAACAAGCAATGTGCAATTTGATGCCATCACCCCTTTAATTAAAATGTTGATAATTCCAGAAAGTAGAAATTTCAAGCTAAACACAGATTTTGTGCACGATGCTTTAAACATTAGAAAGAGAATCAGCTGTGATATGCTACTTTAAAAGAGTATGGACACGATTTTTAGGCATCACATAAGGGACATTTTTTTTTGCATGCAGTGTCAATGCACTCTATACAAAAGTCAAGAAATATAGACAAAATACTTCAGCTTCATCGTCAAGCATCATCATAATGAACATTGTCATCACGATCCATCCTCCATGCAGCTGGGATTGCCAGTGTAGTTGATAAATGGCAATTCACTCATCATTGTTTATGTGAGCCATGTAAAGCTGACAGCAATGACAGAGCTCCTGCCTCTTGTCGCAAGCTGCTGTACCCATGCAAATTAAATGGACACAGACCTAGTTGACAGATCATTTTGAAATCGCCCCTTCAATACTAAAACCAAAGGCAATTTGGAAGGTAGCAGTGCCGAAAATATATTCACTTCATTCTAAGGCACCACGGCACTCCTTCTGAAGATTCTCGACATGAGTGCTCTTCTTTCAAGCAACAATATGAAACTTGAGATGCTCATGTTGGTACTCCTTCATGTCTAAAGTTATCGATTTTACCGCTCATCAAAAAGTCTAGCAATGCAGATGCTTGCAGAGCCCCGAGTATAGTCCTGTCCAATATGTGTGACATAATGAAGACACAGGTTTAAAACTGTAGTACTTTATTCAATACAAAAATAACAGTTTAAAATGGTAACATTCTTTGCACAGGTAACAAAGGTTGCCCTTCAATAGGCATTGTTCTCTCTGACTAACGCATCAAAATTTGGCCCCCACATAGTACGTAACCTTTGACAAACGACCGGAGGCATGGAAAACATAGTGGCTTAACAATGAAGATGGCCAGCAACACTACTGTAAAGACTCTCTGGCACAATCGCACCATGCAATGTTACTTCTATTTAACTAGAAGCAAGTAGTCGCAGAGTAAAGAGGAAGCTGGTTTCTATAAGTACGCAGAGGAAGTTTGCAACTTGACTTAGAAGAGCCAACAAACTTGCTAGCCAATCTTGGAATGAACAAGAAGACATTCGTAACAGGGGAAGCATTTCAACTGAAATGCACTGAAGATTTGCCTTTGTTCCTATCAGGCATTTTGAGTGAACTCTCAACTTCACATGTGGCGGGTATTGCCAAAGTTGATGCCACTTTGTGTTGCACCCTTGTTGGATCCGTACTGGAGACTGATAACATTCTGGCCAGCCTTGAGCTGTTCCTCACTGAAGTTCCGAACATTTGCTTCGGCCTCTTTAGGTCCCATGCCTTTGACACCGAACTTAGGTGCCTGCAAACAAAAAAAGTTCCTTGGTTGAAATACTAGCTTTCCTGAACTCAAAGAAACATCAACACAGCCTCAGTAGTCCGAGCAAGGAGTGAAAATTCAGACATGGTAATAAACGAGCTGCGAAATTCGAAACTGTGATACACACTACGGATACCCAATTTTTATCCTTTGCATCCATCAGGATTTTTTACTTGTGGACAGTGTCGACTTATCACTTACCTGAGATGCCAACACTAAATTATCTGTCGCATATGCTCTTTCACACTGTCATGTTAGCAAGGTCATAATGTGTATTGATCGGTGTATAGAAAACTGGAGGTAAAGAAAATTGCCAGGCCTATGCGGACAGTCACAGTGACACCTGGCTTTTAAGCACTCTTGGGACAACTTACACAAGTTCACTACACCGTAAATCAATCTTTGTGAAGCAGGGAAGCACCTACTACACAATTGTTTGTTCTTCAGAGAAGCGTACCTCCTACACATATGCAAGGCATTACACGCACTTTGTTGATGCTGTGGCTAATAATAATGAAGCATTATGTCTGAGCCTTTGGTATCAAGTTGGAAACATTCAATGACCCACAATTTGCATTGTGTGATGCTAGTAATTATGATACTTTTTTGAAACGGTATATTACGATACTTTCTCGGACAAGAAGCCTGCATAGGTACTGCTTGCAAACTATTTCCCGTGGCTCTGTGGTAGAATACTGGGCTGATACACAGAGGGTCACAGGGTTCAAATCCCATTCTCTTCTAGGTATATTTTATTTCATTTGTTTTTCCTTATTTCAGCCAATAGTGATTAAGGATAATAAAGTTGTTTACATCCATAGTGGTTACGGACACCAATGGTGGACAACAGCGGTACAAAAACAATAGCCATTGCTGTGACCTCATAACAACTTTTACTATAATATAAACGAGCCAAGGAAGGCTGATACCTTACACAGTAATGACTAACGATAAGTGTGAGAAACTAATAAGGCAAAGTGAGGAATTCACCTTTCTGGCCAGAGACTGGAGGCAGATGGAGACTGAGAGCAGGTTCTGCCTCTCCCACAGGTCGACAGTCTGGAAGGTCTCCTGGGCAGGGACACCCATTTGACGTGCATGCTCCAGAAACAGGTTGATGTTCTCCATGCACTTGAAAGCCATCTTGCTCTGGTTGATCTTTTTCTCCGGAATGCTAGCTGCCTTGATCGAGTTTACCAGGCTGCCAATATACAATCACTTGTCAACAGCAGCACAGGACGGTGAAGCTTCATTTACTCCTTTCTTACATTGTCGGCTTGAACCACAAGTACCATCATTATGCCTGTATTAATTTTTCAACAGAATCATCACAGAATGTGCACTACCTGCACATAATGTGACCCGTAACCAATATTCCTTAAAAGGGGGAGAGATGATACAATGGGGGCAAGGCAGGGACATTTCGCTACCCTGCACTAAGGGGACAAGAGTGTAGGATCGAGCAGGCATAGAGTGAGAGTATTATAGCTTATCCTCGCAAAAAGAAAAGGAGATGACATTCGGTCTGTTCCGACGGGGTACCGTTGTTGAGGCATCCTGTTGCTAGCTGCAGCTTGTGTGCGCGGCAGTGAGAACAGCGACGAAGAAAAAATAAATACTTTCTTTGCTGCCACAGTTGTTGCAGGCAGCACAGTCTCGCATGATCTTTTTAAGAACTTTTCGACACATAAATGTTATAGCTCTACTTTTTAATTGTGTTTTCTTTAAATAATCTTTTTTTTTAAGTTGCCTGTCCATGCTTTTGTTGATTATTAGTAGAGGGCTCGATATTGGTCACCTGGCATCCTCTAACATGCCCGCTCAACATCAGCACTCAATATCGCACCCACCAGAACGCAGCAGTCATGCTTGGTACCAAAATATCAGTTGGGAGACAGAGATTGAAGACAATGAACTTGATTTTCATTACGTTATACCACGGCCAATCGATCTTTAAAAAAATTGATGCAGCTTATTGCGTGCTTTGGAAGTGGTGAGAGCTGCGTAGTTGAGCCTATCGCTGCTGTGGCTTCATAAGATGGGCTGCACCAAAATAGCCTAAAGAAAACTCGTCTGTGTTGTGGGTTTTCTTAAGGAGCCTAGAGTTCTTGACAAGGATTATTGTTTTTTTTCTAAAGAAATATACTCTTTTAGTGTGCAAGGAACGTTTCAGAAGGAAGATAGAACAGAGAAACATAGGGCTTCCCTGCGCACTAAGAAAGTATATTTCTTTCAAAAATGCAATACCAACCAGCCCAAGTAGCCATTATTTTGAAGTATTATTGGGGAACAAGTCATGCACACTGAACTGCAGGCATTATTTTATTTGGAAATGAAGGTCTCTTATTTCATCATAAACACATTTATCTCTTTCAGTGTCGCATCGAATTCATGGGTATGGACTATTCGTTCAATAAGTAATCTTTCATGTAAATCTACTCTACTTTCAGTTGTGGACTGTACGAGTAGAATAGCCTGGGACTTTAGACACAAACACACAAAGTGGTCCTTTGATGCATGTGCAGTGTTCGTCAAAAGCTCGGTACCAGCAATGCATTGTCAATCGCAGGTTAACCTCATAGGAAACATGAGATTGTTTCTTACTGGCAGAGAAGAACGCCATCCTTCAGCGTTTCATAGAAATTGTCCATGTCCCCGGAAGTGTTGATGTCCTGGCCAGTGACATCCTTAACCCAGGCAAGCAGTTGACCTGCCAGCTCTGGATCATACTTGGACTGGATCTGCATAATGACCACACAAGTGCGGTATATTGACACAGTATATGCAAGCACGAAACTGTTACTAGCAAAGCAGATTGGTTGGATATACTATGGTCACAATCATGCGGATGTTCGCAACGGCACACTACACTACAGTATGCACCCATCCATATAGATGCCACCATTTCCAGTCACTGTGCGAGATAAATCTTGGGCTGCGCTCTGCACATGCTGCCACAAGAAGACACCAGACTTGTGCACCGTATGCAGTGTGTCGCCATCTAAAAAGAGACCACTATTCGCACCGTGATACCATTGCCCAGATGCATTTTGCTGGTGTTCAAAACCAGTGTTCACCTTTAAAAGGCCAGTAAACAGGCCCTCAGCGTTCTTTTGTTTTTAGCTTTTTTTTGTTTTTTTTCTACACACCTAAAACAAGCTCGCCAATTCGTACAGTGAACGGCGGCCATCATTTTTTTATTACTACAGCTCTGCGGGCCGTGCAGATCCTCCATTTCTAAAAACGATTGCCGCGCCTCTTTTCTTCTGGCAAATCCCCATCGTAGGCGCAGTGACGTAAGCTTGCCCATGGGCAACTTGACGTGCCACTGAGCTCGTCGTTTCGTCATTTGCCCTACAAAATAGTGCTTTGGCCCTGAGGAGTGCAGTTTCAGCTGCGCAGCCTGCATTTTCATTTTCCTTTGCTGCCTTCTGCCCTTTTGTAGAGCTCAAAACTACCGGAAGAAGTGGTATTGCCAGAACGAAAGCTAGCTTCTTTCTGCTAGAAGAAGGCTCAAACCGTGCTTTCTCTGTGCGCTGCTACGACACATGCTCATGTGGGGGTGCCCTGCTCGGTCGATGACTGCTCGCTGTTGACGTATAGCTGACATCGTGTCACGTCGAATGGGTGGAGTCACGATGACGCCCACCCAATAGCGGAGAAGGGTGTCCAGGCTTACAAGTTTTGAAACTAGCTGAAAGGAATGTTCTAACCCATGCAACTTCTTTATTATAGCACGTATTCGCAAAGTTCTTGTGGGAGCATGTTGACAGAACAAAAATGCGCACATTTCTCTTCATAACAATTTTCGGACCTCAGAATTTTAACTGTATGGTGTATGGTGTTGAGCATTTGGAACATCACTACTGCAAATTAGAAATGTCACCATTACAAGAAACCTCAAGAATAGTGTAAACAAACACGATGAAGGACTGAAGTCATGTTTTTCTATAGTAATTAGTTTGGGCATTAGCTACCGCAATAACGTGGTACTCTAAAAACAATAACTAAAGACCGCAATTTTTCAACTTTTCACTGTTTGTACGGATTGTGTACATTTTGCTCATGATCACTTGAAATCTGCCAAAAGCTAAAAGCATTTCAAACTTTAAATTGCAGAAACAAATATACACCAATGGAATTCACAGTTTCACGTCTGCCCTGGAAGGAGCCTGGCTATGGCAAACCATGCACTGCAGCATTTCTCGATTTAATGAGACCCATTCAAGTAAAGCATTAGCGCATCACACAGCAGCCCGTTTTTGCAACAAAAACCATCGAAATGCGCCACAGCCTCACTCGTCAAAGTGTTACCATGCCATCGCATGCGGTGGAGCTCAATGCAAGCATAACACAAACAGTAGGTCTGACAATAAATCTCTAGGTGGCTGTCTTTCCAGCCAATTGATCCAAAAAACAAATCTTTGTCTATATTTCTTGCTTTCTTCTTCCTTTTAACATTTTATACATAGTTTGTATTGTGTTTCGCTAGCCACAGTGGTGTCTGCACTTATAACAAGAGCAAGAGGCCTTGTGTCAATCAGAGTGCTTGAAGAACAAGAAGACCTATTTGTGGCGTCACGCAAAAAAGTCACGCAAAAAACAAGAAGAGGACTTGCTTAAACATCCACAGATTACATAAGTACTACCCCACAGGATACAAAGACATAAGTCCGTGGTGTGGAAGCACACCGACGCTCTGCCGCAACACGTGTGAATGCATGGCACACGCTGAAGAGCATGAAGAGGATAACAGCATAGGGGCAACATTGTCCAGCCCTGCCCTTGGGGATGAACTGGGGCTGGTAAGGGGGGCTGAAAGAATGGCGAGAGCCAGCGGTGCCTCGGAATATAGGGGCCAGACCCTGCCGGGTTGCCCTGTTTTACCAGTAACGCAGTTTTTTGCAAAAATAAGGTTTTCTTCTGCAATATCGTAATCAAGGCACTCGAAGAACAAGAAGACTTTTCTTTGGCACGAGCGCACGCTCAATACGCCTGCGTTGATATCACCAACTAGGCACTCGAAAAACAAGAGAAAGTAGACTTTTCCTTGGCACGATCATGCACTTAATAGGCCTAGCTTATTATGACCATCTAGATGCTTGGAGCGCAATGAGGAGAAAGCAGAAACGTTATGATCAGGACACTCGGACAGGAGGAAAAAGACTTTTCTTTGGCATGAGTGCGCACTCTATAAGCCTGCGTTAATATCATCTAGCGCTCGAAGAACAATAGGAGGAACGCAGATGCATTATTATAATTATAGGGCATTCGAGAAGCAAGAGTAAGACCTCTTCGGCATGAGAGCACGCTCAATATGCCTGCATAGTATCACCATCAAGGCGCTTGAAAAACAATTAAAGGGACAGACATCAATGTCGGTCATCATCTAGGTGCTCTAAGAACAATAAAAGGAAAGCAGCCGCGTTAATATAATCATAGGGCGTTCGAGAAGCAAGAGAAGGAAGACCTCTTTTGCACAAGAGCACGCTCAAATGCCTGTATTAGTATTACCATAAAGGGGCTCAAAAAACAACTGGAAAATACATCAATGTCGATCATCATCTAGGTGCTCTAAGAACAATTAGGAGGAAAGCAGACATGTTAATATAATCATAGGGCATTTAGGAAGCAAGAGGAGGAAAATCTCTTCGGCACGAGAGCAAGCTCAATATGCCTGCATTAGTATATCACTATCGATAAAGTTGCTTCAGAAGCAAGGGAAGAAGACCTCAATGTGGATCATTATCTAGGCGCTCTAATAACAATAAGAGGAAAAGCAGACATGTTAAAGAAGCCCTGAAACACTTTTTCAAGTAACCATGGAATGAATTCACTGAAAGAGCTTATTGTCTCATGAATTCAACGCCGCAAAAACTTTAAGAATCCGTCCAGTGCGAGTGGAGTTACAAAGGATTGTCCCACGCTGCAATTGCATTCTCTCTTCTCTCGTCTCGATGAAAGCACTGGAAGCTAAGCAGGGAGTGAGGGCAGGGCTACAGAAAAACGTGACACACACCTCGCAACCTTGAGAACTTTTTTTTTCTTTCTTTGAATGCGCGCCTTTTTTAGTGTGATCGCACACGCACGCGTGGACAAGTAGCGGCCTCCCGCGACCACTAAAACTTGCGTTGGGTCTAGTTGGTACATAGCACAAAAAAAGAAGTTAACTTCTTTGGCGCAAACAATACGGAAAAAAGGAAAAAAGAAGGCGAGGAAAGAAACAGATTGACGCCAAACTAACAACTACTTTATTCTTCACACAGCAACGCATATATATGCCGAAACCACATACATTGCATGCGCACGCACAGCTTCGTATCGTATACGTAAAAACGAAAAATTCCTAAACCTTAACACATCACACCACACACCTGAATGTACACGCGTGTTGTCATATTACACTTGTAGAACACGATATCTTAACCAAGATGTGTACGCAAAAATTCATATTCGATGGCATGCAAAGAAACGGAAGTATCACTGATACAGTCAGCTCCGCTTTTCTTAATATGATAAGCCTCCAAAGCAAGTCTTGCATCTTCATTCCTGCTCCTGCCCAGAATCATCGTATCATGAAACCGTGGCGAACATCCAATGCAGGATTGCAAGTGAGCAACAAGATGTGCCCCTTTGTCTACCTTGTTAACTATTTTTTGCGCATGTTCCCTAAGACGCTCGTTTATGCAACGTCCCGTTTGCCCGATGTAGATCCTGCCACATACTAGAGGTATGCCATATACCACACAGGTGATGCAAGAAATAAAGCAGACACCGTGTTTTATTTTGCACCCAGTTTTGCTACTACCGCAGGTGCGGGAGCACAACTTCAAGAGTTTGTTGGGCGCAGAGAATACCAAGGAGACCCCATGCCTGTTAGCAACTCTCTTGAGTTGATGTGTGACCTTATGTAAATAAGGTATCACAACAGGCCTGAACGTATCACGTTCACATGTCGCCTTCTTTCTTGTTTTCCTTTTCTGAAGCAGGGCTTCAGCTACGGCTGTAAGGAGCGTCATAGGGTAACCTGCAGCCAAAATACGGCGTACCTGATTTTCAAAACTCTCCTGCATTTTATGAGCGCACGACTTTCTGAGAGCTGAATCTATGCAGGTTGAGACTATTCCTCTTTTAACCACTTTCGAGTGGGCCGACTTAAAATGTAACAGCTCCTTCTGTACACGGGGACTGTAAGCCCAACACACATGCCGGTAACATACCTCTAGACTAAGGTCAAGAGCTTGTAAGACATTTTCCTGGGGCAGCTCATGCGTGAAAGTGAGCCCTTGTCCGTGTTGCTTAAAAGCATTTAAAACATCAGTCACCGTATCACTGTAGTCAGAGCCAATATTTAAAAACACAATAAAATCATCTACATATCTAAAAACTCTTAAAACCTTAAAAACTTTAAAAACATTTTGTAGAGACCTATCGACATGGGCTAAAAAAATGTTGACAAGTACAGGAGCAACACAGGAACCGATGCAAATGCCATCACGCTGAATAAAATGCTGGTCATTAAAAACTATAAATGTGACCTTAAGATAGAATTCTAACAAACTCATAAAATTCGCCACGTTCAACCCGACCTCGTTCTGAAACGAGATAGCACCGTTTTCTTCAATGCATTCATGCACAGATAACAATAACCCTTGCTGCGGTACAGAGTAAAATAAATCCTGGACATCCACCGAGAAAACATAGCCCACTTTTCCGTTCCCACTACAAAATTTTACTATAT